CTCTTGGGTTTTTTCCATGAGGTCAGGTGATGGCCTTTAACGGTCGCACGTCCAATATGGATTCTCCATCAAAAGTTCCTGGTGACACATCCCTGACTAACTTGATTCGACTCAACAAGGAACAAACTCCGTGGGAAATAAATTTTATGGCTTTTAGCCTAACTCGATAAAACGTTCGAATTTAATCGATTAAAGTTTCTAATAATTCAAATTTAAAATAACATTATATTGTGGGTTTGTTCGTCCCTCACATAAACATGTACATTTAGAAGTATGTACTGTACGTACATGAATTCATAAATTTAGATAACTTTTTTCTGTACTATATTAAAAACTAAAATTTATTTGTTTGTAAGCTTAAAATAGATTGTTATTAGCCATATATCATATATTATTAAAAATGCATTTATCAATAGAATACAGAACTGGGAATGGTATTCGTAGTTTTATCTAGTGACAAGTAAATTCGACTTACGTCATTTTTTGACTTAAGTCGCCTCTCCTGGAACCAGTTACCGACGTAAAGCGAGGTATACCTGTAATTTTAAATATTATGAAAACCAATTTTCCAAAGTGAGTTTTAATTTGTTAAATTAAGTAAATTTTATGGAGAGTTTTTTGATTTATCTAAATTACACAGTGAATTGCAATATTTATATTCATGTTCAAACTATATTGGCAAGTCACTCTTAGATATATTGGGTTGTTCGGAAAGTAATTTTGTTTCTTTGGGGGAAATATTTTATTGAATTATATATTGACAACTTTGGTCCAATATAGTTGCCATCTTTTTGGTAATAGCATGATTCCACATTCATAAAAGTTTTGATATTTGCTTATAAAAGAAATGATCCAAGTGATTTTTGTTCTGGTCTTTACAAAATGTTTTACTGTTTAAAAAATTTTGCCAAGATCAGAACAAGTAATAATCTGAAGGTGCCAGATCTGACAAATATGGTGGGTATGGTAGCACATCCCATTCAAGCTGTAACAGTTTTTGACGAGTTACCAAACTTATGTGAGGTCTGACATTATCATGGTGAAACACTATAACTTTTTTGTTGATCAATTCTTGTCTTTTCTGTTTGATGGTATCATTCAATTTGTCCAGTTGATGACAGTACACTTCCGAATCAGTTGTGAAATTGTCTAGTAGAAGCTGAAAAAGAAAATAATAATAATTCCCTTAAAATCCCACGAAACAGGGAGCATCACTTTTTCTGATGAATATTGATTTTGAGCTGGCTTGTCTCTTCTACTCCACGATCACTTGTGTTCGACATTATTATAAACAGTTGTAGCGCTTTGCGACTATATATCTTTATGTTTCAGCTTTTCCCTCAACCCCTTCATTTTCATTTGTGGTACCACCTTTTTCTAGTTCACCTTATGTTGGCAGCCGGATTGGCCAGCGGAGGTCATGTGGGGATACATTAATATATGGTACCATAAAAATTAATGATATAAAATAATATAATTCTTTTAGTACATTTTTGTTCAGATCATTATTAATTATAATATGTTTTATTGAGTTGTTTCGGAAAGTAATTTCATTTTTTTATCACCAGTGGAATTAGTTGTATTGTTTACCTGCCAACTTCATTTTAAACTGTATTGTCATTATATATTTTGACAGCTGACATTTCAAGAGCCTTCTCCGCAGCGGGATATATATGCAGTTCATTAAGAAGTAGGTTGGGAGACAACACCATCAATACCATTTGTTTCTTGAGATCCTATTTTTAGAAAAGTCAAAAAAAAAAATAACAGAAGTGATTGATTTTAATTTGATTTAATCCTTTAGAATACTTTATTCAAGATGAGACTAATATTTTAACTTCTATTCTAATTCTATTAAGTAAGAGTTTTTAAGTTTTATTCTATAAGTGGTTAGTGGGCTAGGCTAGGCAATTTTATTGTTAAAATTAGTGAGAAACTGAGACTATCTAGTTAGTTAAATAGTTAATTAAATTAATGAGTATCACTATCTTAGATATATGTTGATATGAATGTATATGATTCATGATTGTGATAATAATAACTAACTACTAGACTACTACTAATTATTTACTCACTACTTTACCAACACTAGTAATTAAATTACTTATAAATAACTACAGACTGATATGTAGAGCTTATATAAGAAAACTGGTAAGACTGATAGTCACTTAGTCACTGATTATCCGTCCTTTCATTATTATAATATAATATATTAATATGAATTAATTAGTAGAATTACCTCTGCTATTATTTAACTTAAAGATTACATTATAATTATAATCTAACCAAACATTTAAAGTTAATTATCTCTATCTGAAGTGTTAAACCGAACCAAAGTTAAGTTTACTACCTAAATGTGTAAGAAGTTTTACTGATTTACTGTATAGTGACCAGTCTAAATAATAAAAGTTTCTTAAGTATTTAAAAAAAATGTTTTATTTTTTTAAAAAAACCATAAATTACTGGATAGATAGATAGATAATACTTTATTGCACCAAAAATACATCTGCGCTGGATCCAGTTGGAACGATGTTGATCCAGCAAAAATCCAGCTGGATTGCAATCCCTAATGAATACATATGAACTTCTTGGAATTTATGAAGCATTTCAGCATTTCCAAAGAAAATAATATTAACCTTAATTTTAAAACAATTGTCAATTGCTGTATGTAAGTTATATAATGTAAATAAATGCAAAAATATTTTTTATTTTTTTCAGAAATTTGTCCTTTCGATTAGATAAAGCAGGATCCTGGTTCATCAGGGATTTGGTTGACGAGTTTAGTAACCGTGATACAACATCAACAGACATATATCAACTGATGAACAACGTAAACTACAAAGTCACCAGACGTTGTGGTCCATATAAGAACAAGACTGTGACTCAGACCCCCGAACTCCGAATAACTGTCATGCGTCCATTATATTTAAAACGATTAGAAAAACCTTCTCCCATTCTAAAACTTAATTGTGCCGACGCCATTAATTGCCCATTGTTATTTTCATTAGTCGAAAATTTTCCAATAAAACCCGACATATATTTGGTATGATACTTTTTTAAACTAAATTATCTTTAAATAGTAAATAATTTGATTATTCAAAAATAATGTTACTCGAGATACAATGAAAAATTTTTTTTTATTAGTACCGCTTTTATTGACATATTGTTGACAATTGTCAATGTATATAGTTGAATTTAAAAATGATGACTTCTAAATGTAAATTTCATAATACACTATTATTATTTTCTTACATGTTTTTTGTCATTTATGTTTTTAATTAAATGCATTGTTTTTACTTGGGTATGAAAATTGTATTTGATTTAGATTGAAATTTGTAACAAATTGCACTTTCTGTGTACGAATTTAATTGATGTTTTATCTTACAAGGAGAGATTACAATGTAATCCCCTCGGTATTTCAATAATGTTTGTATTGATGAGCCTTGGTACCAACCTTATCCAGCAAAGAAAGAAAGTACACTTTTCAGCATTTTCAAGAAAATCAAAATTAAAAAATTCTGATTGACTTATCAGTAAGATTTGGAGAACTTTCATTGAGGACAACATTGTTTAGTGGCAGCATACTTACTTACATTTTCAATTCTGCTGGTTCGTGTCTCACCAGTGAACTATTTTTTCACAGAAATGTAAGTTTTACATAAAATAATTGTAAATTACATGATTTTGTATATATTTCTATTAAAAATGTACATTTTCTCTTCTTTGAAAATTCAATTTTGGAATTACTGTCTATTAATTAAAATTAAATTTAAGGTTGTTTTACTTTTATTTATTACATTAAGAATATTATTAATAATTTAACATTTTATGCAATAAGTAAACTCAAAAACTTATAAGTAACTCCCAATATCACATTGAATTGTTAAACGCAGGCAGATCTACATAGGGACTAATAGGGCCCACAAAAAATTGGATTATCATAAATTTTTAATACTTTTTCATTAACAGTGAGCACTTATCGTATAGTAAAAAATAATTAATAGGTTAGGTTTTGTAAGAACGCCGATTGGGGGGGAGATTTTTATTCCCTACTGTCGGGATGGTCTAAGGTCTACGCGTATGTGGGTGGCGGTTTTTAAAGGCAGCAAAGACAAGCGTTTTACAGATGCAAACCGTTTATTCTGGACGAAATTGCTTACATAAATTTTCTCGTTGGAAAGGTCCTGCGTTGTGGGAAATTTCGACGTCGATTCTGGTCTTGCGTCGTAGGGATTTTCGGCGGCGATCTGGTCCTGTGTTGTGCTAAAAGTTCGAAGTTTCGATGCACAAAAGATGAAAGGATGCAGGAAAAAAACCGGAGATACACGAACACAAAAGAAGTCTAGTGGAAGTCTCCGTTGTCCTTGGAATTGCTGCTTTTATAGGTTTTTCGAGATCGGCTTCTTGGTAATTGGATACACCTTACATCACCATTTTCTAATTGGTCTTCCACCTGTCTCCAGGTGTAAGTGGAGCTTCGTAAAGTTCGCGGGAAAGGTCGGCTGAAGATGGTTTATCCGACATCATCCTTTCGACTCTGATCGCGTTTAATTGTTGACTATGACACCTACCTCATTTTGATATTTCTCTAGTTTCGTTTTACCTTCTAAACTGCGTCTTAACTTTAATATTTTAAATTTTCTTCTTTTATATTTAAAATTTTGTTTTTACCGTTATTCTCTATGAGCGCTGACGTCAAAGTCCGGTGTCACCGATTCGACACTTATATAATTTGTTTTCTTGACGATTGAACTTTACAAATTTTTTTTATATCTTTTCTTTTGGGGGAGGGCTATGTCCGGGTCCTCACAGTTTGGTAAAAATGGTGCCCTATTGGAATTAAGCCCTAGGCCCAGAAAAACCTAGATTCGCCCCTGGTTTAATTAAACATGATTGTACAGTATCACTTCTCTGCTTTCTTACTGTTTAGATCAGTGGTTCTCAACTGGGGTCCTTGTAACATTACTGGGAGTCCAGAGAAAAAAAATTATCGAATTTTTTTTCTGGACTCCCAGTAATGTTACAAGGACCCCANTAAACAAGATTGTACAGTATCACTTCTCTGCTTTCTTACTGTTTAGATCAGTGGTTCTCAACTGGGGTCCTTGTAACATTACTGGGAGTCCAGAGAAAAAAAATTATCGAATTTTTTTTCTGGACTCCCAGTAATGTTACAAGGACCCCAGTTGAGAACCACTGAACCAGAGAAAAAAAATTATCGAATTTTTTTTCTCTGGACTCCCAGTAATGTTAGTGGGGGTTCACGGTGATACTTTTGTGGTTTATAGGGTAATTCTACTTTAGAACAATTGTTTTACTGAAAATTAAATTTCTACAGTATATATATTGTCAATTTCTTTATTATTCATTCCTTGCATAAGGATTAAAATGTAAATTATTTAAAATATCGAATACGTATACGACATATATATTTCATCGACAAAGGTCAAAGAGAGATGATAAAGCCGGGGTTTGTTAGGAGAATCTTATAGCATTAGCGTCGTGTCACTTGACAGTGACATTTCTGAAGGTTTTGCGTCAGTTTGTTCCAGATATTGAAGATTAGGGTGGAAGGCTCATTGAATAAATTTGCATTTTTTTCCCTCCATTACTCGCTTAGGTCTGTTAAAAAATTTATTTTTAATTTTCTACTATTGTATATAAATGATCTATAGAACTTAGTTGTTTAATATGTTTATTTTGCAATAAATTGGCTTTCCTTCAAAATAAAGCATAATCATTTACTATTTCTTTTAAAACAGTTTCTTTCTTTTTTATTAGTGAAAAATATAAGGTTCTTTTTTCTGTGCAATGTCTACGGAGGTCCACGAAAAAATTAAGAGGAAAAGGGGTCCATGTAGGTTTAGATCATAAGTATATTTCCTTTTCATAACTAATAATGCAAGCGAAGAATAAAAGTACAACAAAGCTATAATGTAAGAAAAATAAATTCATAAACTATAAAATAGTTAATTGTTTGAGTGTAAAAAACAAACTTTAAATTTATTATTAAACTAGCAGGCGGGCCCGGCGTTGCTCGGGCAAAAGTAACGATAACTAAGATAAAGAATATTACGTTACAGTCAACCTTACCCGTTTTTACAGAATGCAAGAATTGGACCTTGTTTCCAGACTTATTAGAGAATTTTTAGATGGTTCTAAACATGTTCGACTAGCTGTTACCCGCGACTTCGTCCGCGGAGGTTTTGCAAGCAAACCCCATTTACATTCAATATTTCAATAACTATAGTAATCTATATATATAATCGAGACGAGTTGATAATAATAATCAGCACAGAGCCCAAACGGTTAGGAGTTGAAATTTGGTACACAGATAGGGTACGTCACGAAAACGCACACTAAGAAAGGATTTTTCGAAATTCCTCCCCACGGGGGAGAGGGACAGGATTAAGGCTTAACACTTCCATCAACAATGGAAGTGCTAAGTAACAATGGAAGTGTTAAGTAACAATGGAAGTGTTAAGTAACAATGGAAGTGCTAAGTAACAATGGAAGTTTCTTCAACAATGGAATTGTTAAGAGAAAGCGACGTGCAAGACGCAGATGCAGTTTTTTTCGTTTTTGAGGGAAATCGAACATATTTTTAGACCCAATCTAAAAATTTTCTAATTAGTTTGGAAACAAGGGGACCCAATTCTTGCATTCTGTGAAAACGGGTAAGGCTGACTGTAACGTAATAATCTTTATCTTAGTTATCGTTACTTTTGCCCGAGCAACGCCGGGCCAACCTGCTAGTTGTTATATAACACCTACCGCTAAAGAGAATTGCCGAGAATCAAACGAAATACAGTATTTTCAATTTGATCAATTTTTTGGAACGTTTACAATCGTTCTATAATCGAACCAATACGCGATAACAAATTCCAATTTAAAACGGTTCGAATATTTTAAAAATCGAAATAGATAAAAATATTTATAGCAATGTCTGAAATGTTATCAATTTGATTAATACACCTATGTACTCGATGAAGACTATATCCTCTCCCTCATCCCCCGCGGGGGAATTTTTAAAAATCCCTTCTCAGTGTACATTCTCATGGCATACCCTACTACAACGCAGATAAAAACAAAAAATCGCATTTAAAATAGCACAGTAGAAGCCGTTGTTCCGGTTAAGCCTTAATGCTCTCCCTCTCCCCCCCGCGGGGGAACTTCGAAAAATCCCTTCTTAGTGAGCGTTTCCATGACGTACCCTAACTGTCTACCAAATTTCACTTCTTTAGGTTCAGCTGTCTGCTCTGGGCGATGATGAATCAGTGAATGAGTGAGTCATTCAGTCAGTCAGAACAAGCAATTTTATATATTTAGATTTCCCGCAAAAACGAAAAAACTGCATCTGCGCCTGTAAATCTTGTACGTCGCTTTCTCTTAACAATTCCATTGTTACACACTTCCATTGTAGATGGAAGTGTTAAGCCTTAATCCTGTCTTTCTCCCTCCGGGGGGAATTTCGAAAAATCCCTTCTTAGTTTTCGTGACGTACTCTGTGTACCAAATTTCAACTTTCAACTCCTAACCGTTTGGGCTCTGCGCTTATTATTATTATTATTATCAACCCGTCTCGATTATATATTAGAAGAGAGCAATTTTGAAAACAAATTTTTGCTCAGAGCAGAAGCCGAACCTTTCTTACTCGCATTCCCAACTTCATGGTTCAAGCTGGTTTTAGCCTCGCAAACGCAATTTTGACAAAACAAAGGAACAGATTGAACTTGGGAAACCTTGGGGATTTGCGATTAAAACTTACCAATTTTCAACCGAATATCAATATCTCGCTGCTTTTCTTCAGACACATCCATCCCACTAATATCAACTATTTTAATATTAATAGTATGTTAACATATTATTGAGGTATTCAGTAATAGTCGCAAAATGAGAGTAAGAGGTTCTTTTCATCCAATATAACTTATGTTTTCAAAAATAATTGTGTATTTTACGTATTATGACACGTACGGTTTAACAATTATAAGCAAATTTCTATCTATCCATAATTTTGCTATTATTTTTTAAGGTTACAAATCAGTGGAAAATATCTCCTTTTTCTGTTAATGTTATTGGGTGGATTTTATAGAGGGAGTGCACGTGACGTCAAACGACTCCGCTTACGAAGCGCGCGTCATGTTGGTTGCTGTTGGTTTGGTTGTCGACCTCGATGTAATTTATATGTTTGTAAACTTTACTGTTTGTTTTAATATTTTTCTTTGTTATTTTAGTTTTAAGTTTATCTTATTATTATTTTATGATATTCTGTCAATCTTAAGTATACTATATATTCACTTATTGTAAAATTTTTCCTGGTAATGCTCTACAGTGGGGCCAGGAAATGTACATAATACTGTACCTAATAAACTAAAATGAATGAATGAATGTCGACCTCGATATTGTCATCTAACTCGTATTTTTTCAAATTTAATTTTAATTTATTATGATTCATTACACTACCAATTGAACTGCTTACAGTTAGAACTAAAGATTCTGTAACAAACAATTGAAAAAGTTGTCACAATTTGTTGTGCTCTAATAAACTTATCAAACAGTGTCGTTCCATTTGATTAATATAATTTTAATTTGTTATAAAACAATTTGTTATTCGGGGTGAAAATCTTTTGTCAACTGAAGTTCCAATAATATGTAAAATAAATAAATAAATTTTGATTATTAGTCAAATGAATTATAATATTTATTCAATACTGTAATACTTTTTGGGTTTTCATTTTTTTTGCT